CCTATCAAAGGGAAGTGGGTATAAAGCACAAGCGCCAACTGGGTTCCAATATGTAACAACCGGCCAAACATATCAGACAGGAACTAATGTTAATGCAGCAAAACAAGATCCAAACAACTACCAAGGAAGAATGGCGACAACGTTTTACCAGAACGGTACCACGATAGAGGGAAATGAAATAACAACAAATCAGCAGAATCGATCAAAAGGTTACGTTAAAAGTCTGGGCACTCAAAGGTATCAAGCTACAGAGAGACAGCCTGAACCATTATTCAGAGAAATAAACACACCAAATAGGCTTATTATGCAGACATATGACAGCGGGGAAGCAACAAGGAAAGAGGCCATTAAAACGAACAAACTGGACCCAACTGGATTTCTTCAACAGCAAGAACAACAAAGCATCAACAGAGAAAACATCAAACCCAATAGAGTCGCTATTCCAAAATTCGAGTCCCAGACCGAAATCAAGAAGGAAGTCATCCAAAGCAATAAATTAGACACAACCAGGTTCAATGTCACTGAAGAGGAACCAAAACCGCTCATTAGAGGACCTGTCAAAAGAACAAAACTACAGACGGAGTTCAACATAGCCTATCAAGAACCGGACAATCTACAGTTCGCTGCGGAACAAGCACCGAAACCTCAAAGGATAAAAATTCCAGATTTCCATACACAAGCCGATACAAGGAAAGAGGTAATAGCGAACCAGAGGATAAACATTCCAAAATTTGAGTCCACGGTGGAAATCAAGAAAGAGGTCATCGAAACAGGGAAACTGGACACTACAAGATTTCTTCAACAGGAAGAACAACAAGTAATGAAGAGAGAAATTTCGAAACCAAAAAAGCTAGAAATCCCCATGTTTGAGTCCCAGGCGGAAATCAAGAAAGAGTTCATCGAAACACGGAAACTAGACACTGGGAAATTCCTTCAACAGCAAGAGCGACAAACCATCAACAAAGAAACCGTGAAACCAAATAGAATTAACATCCCAATATTTGGGTCCCAGGCAGACATCAAGAAAGAAATCATTGAAACTAACAAATTGGACCAAACTATGTTCAAAGTCGCTGTAGAAGAACAGAAACCGGTCATTAGAGGACCAATCAAGAGAACAAAACTGCAGACCGAGTTTGTTATGGCCTGTCAACAACCGGAGAATCAAATAACCACCGCCGTTGAACGGAAGCCGAAACCTCAGAAAATAAAACTTCCAGATTTCCAATCACATGCGGAGATAAGAAAAGACGTGATTGAAACAAAAAAACTGGACACATGGAAATTCCTTCAACAGGAAGAACCACGAACCAATAGTAAAGAAACCATAAAACCAAACAAACTTAACATACCCATATTTGAGTCCCAAGCAGAAATCAAAAAAGAGTTCATCGAAACAGGGAAACTGGATACAGGAAAATTTCTTCAACAGGAACAACAACAAACAATGAAGAGAGAAATCGTACAACCAAAAAAGCTTGAA